GGTGAGGGATGGGGGGTGCAGACATCAGGTACCAGGTGATCACAATCAAACAGTTTTTCTCTTCAGCTGAAGTCCAACCTGTTTCTATTTGATCATAATCACATCAACAACATGAAGGTTGTGTTTATGCAGCGTTTATGTTGTGAACTTATTTCATCCTCTCACCCTCAAACTTATCCTGACTCTTGGAGTCATCGTCATCTGCAAAGAAACACATTTAGTTCTCTAATTAAAAGCCGGTTTAACAAATCCTGGATCAAGCATCACAAACGTGAGTCCACATCAAAGAGCTTTGATGTTTCTGTTCTGTTTGATCTCTCTGCTCTTTTCATTCCTGTTGTCTGTGACATCACTGATCACATGGTCAAAGGTCACCTGGGGACAGCAGTGAAGTGCAGGAGATACACTGCTTTTAGACCTTTACCTCCAGGAAAGACCAAGTTTATGAAGATCAACTGACGTTTTGTCTCCACATGGAGGTAGACGAGGGTTATGATACGTCTTAAAAATATTTTAAAAATGTATCTGCCGTTTCATCATCTCTGAACTAGAATCTCTGATTTTCTCCGTGGACTTTGGCAGCATCCTTTTACCTCGGTGTACATCGTTAACAAACAGGAAACCATCCTACAAAGAAAAGTCCGATAATTGACATTTCTGATCCCACCACAGCGGGCTGCCCCCTAGTGGCTGACTTACACTGTAGGTCAGGTAGCTCCACCCCCATTCAACGAAAACAGTTTTTTTAGAATGTTATTTTTGTTGATAAATAACTGAGAATTTCATCAAGACAATGAATCAATCATTCGATCAATCAACTAATAAGCGATCGTCGCCTACCCTCCTCCTCAGACAGCTCCTCCTCCACCTCCACAGCCTCCACCTCCTCCTGCTCCTTCTCTGCTTTAAATCACACACAGCAGCAATAATCAATCAATCAGTCGACCGACCGACCGACCGATCGATGGATCGATGGATCGATCGATGGATCAGTGGAGTACTGGATGGTCTGTGAGTCGACTGCAGTCTTTTTTACCCTCAACAGGAGCCGTAGAGACGGCCGCGGCCAGAACCAGGACCAGCGAGACTATCAACCAGTTTCTGCAGTGACAGAACAGCATACCATCAGCCTGTCAATCAAAACCAGCAGCAGTCGATCACAGTCGCACCACAGAGTACTACAGTAATGCCACAGTAATACTATGAAGTAGTCGTGCACCAGGAGAGTTACCTCTACAGCTACAAGTACTACAAGTACCAACAGTAGTACTAGTACAGTCAGCAGTATTGTCATTATTGTTGTTCAGTAGTTAGTTAGTTAGTTAGTTAGTTAGTTAGTTAGTAGTAGTAGTAGTAGTAGTAGTAGTGGTAGTGGTAGTAGTGGTACTCACGGAGGCAGCATGCTGCTGCTGCTGTGTCAGAGTGGCAGCAGTGAAGTACTGCAGCTCCGCCTTCAAACACATATTTATACACACACAGACAGGGAGGGAGGGGCCAATCACAGTACTACTGCATCAACACAGTACTTCTACTGTACTTATACTGCAGATTCCTCCACAGTACAGAATCATACTCTTAGTATACTCACAGTACTGCGACTACAGCATTATGTGTATTAGTTCATGTATATGCCACTGCTGATACTTCTAATATACAAGTACTACAAGTACTAGTACAAAGAGTGAAGCTGAAAATCCTTCGTATACTTTGATTTCCGTCCATTGGTAAAAGTGATATTTTACTTCAAAACATGAAGTAAAAAGTATCAATATTTGAATGACTTTGATCATTGTTCAATAAAAAAGATCAGTCCTGTGAATACTTAGTTCTACTATAGTAGTACTGTATTGTAGTACTTAGTTGTAGTTTAGTATATGCTTCACATCTGAGTGGCCCAACCTCTGGCTCCTGGGTTAGGGTTAGTCCAGACCAGGATGATTCGACAACCTTCCACATTTCTTGGTTTTTCCTCTGACGTCACCACGCTGGTTTTCTATTGGTTGAAGGTCCGGGGTTTGGACTGGCCACCCCAGAACCAGAACTTTGTTGGTCTGGAACCAAGATGCTGCTGCTCCCTGGTCCAGTCTCAACACCGCCCTCCTCAGGTTTTCACAGAGAATTTCATGTACAACTTGTTCAGTATTTAAATAAGAACCAGCTGAATGACATCATCAATGACATCATCAATGACATCATCAATGACATCATCAATGACCAACTGACAGAGTCACTGACAGAGTCACTGACACAACTGTACAGCACTTATTTACTCCTACTGTGCTACTGTTTCCCAGCATGCCATAGGGTGTGGCAGGATTCACTTGACTCCGCC